TCACGGTGTTGTCGCTTGCAGATTTCTTATACTTTTTCTTCTACCCTGAAGATGGGGGCGATACGTTCCTCCGAAACGTCGGTTAACACCACATACTCGTATACACGGTGCCAAATCCCAGAAGACTGCTTTCTTCATTATGTATTAAAGGTTAAAATACTACTAATTAGAATACTATTGTGGAGGCATTTAATAATTATTTCAATAGGATAGCAGAGAGTATTCACAATCAAATTGAAGAAAAAGGTGCAAATAGAAATAATATATCATCTACACATTATGTAGAAAATTACATAACTTATATGTCAAATGCTTTTGGTAGTCCATTCCCTAAAATTCAAATTAGGAAAACTATGAGTTTTGAAATACAAAGGATAATAGAGACTCTTAAAATAAGCCATAAACATGGATATGATGACATTTCTAATAATATACTTGAAGCTTGTAAAACTTTCATTAGTGCTCCATTAAGTTATCTAAGCACAGTGGTTCACTGAAGGTCGCAGTGCGAGGGCCAGTTTTATGGCTCAGCCCTCATACTCATTAAGTTATCTATGTAACAGAATTTTGTTTGAAGTTGTATTTCCAGACAGGCGAAAATATGCCACGATTGTACCAGCGTACAAAAGAGGTGACAAACAAACAAACAAAACAAACTCCGTGATTTTAGTCCGCAAGTGAACTATACCGACCGAGCGACCGTCACTCGTCGGTGAGCAGAAGAGGTGACAGAAATATTATTTCTAATTACAGACCTATTTCTATTTTGACCTCTTTTAATAAAATATTTGAGAAAATAATGTATAGCAGATTGATAATGCATCTTAACAAAAATAACACCGGTCTAGAAAACCGAGATTAACTGCCGTGGGGAACAGTTTCGCTGACCACGCGACGCCCTCTATCCGCTAAAGATGGCACTAACTTCGCCGACAAGCGGCGGTCGCTCGGTCGGTATAGTTCGCTTGCAGAGTAAAGCCACAATTTTTTTATATATATATAAGAATAACATCTTAAGTAACCACCAGTTTGGATTTAGAGCAAATTTGGGGGCTGATAATGCTATTTTTAGATTAATCTCTGGAATATTGAATTCACTAATTCATAAAACATTAGGTAGTGGCATTTCTTGTGCCTTGGAAAAAACATTCAATTTGTTAGTCATGAAGTATTGTTGGATAAATTAAAGTATTATGGAATAAATGATAAACAATATAATCTTTATAAGTCTTATTTACAAGATAGATTTCAGAGAACATCAATTTTAAATGGATTACATAATAAAAAAGTACCTATTTTATTTGCTGATGATGCTAGTGTCTTGATTTCACATGCTAATCCCTTACAGTTTAAGAATACACTAAATGAAATTTATGGGATACTTGATGATTAGTTTAAAAAGAACATATTGTCATTATATACAGTGAAAACACATTGTATCAATTTCACTGCAAAAAAAAAACAATATGTTGTTTGAGAGTGATATAAGAAATGTAAGTACATGCATTATGAGCTCTTATGACATTAAATTTCTTGACTTGACTATTGAGAGCTCCTTGACTTGGGAAAGACATATTGAAGTAGTTATAAATAAATTAAGCTCAGCCTGCTACATGATAAGGATCATAAAACCACTTATATCTATAAATACATTGAAAATTATTTATTATTCCTACTTCCATTCAGTCATCACTTATGGCTTGATTCACTGGGGAAACTCATCACATACTGAAACGGTTTTTAAGATGAGAGACAAAGACAAAACAACTCTGTCCAGTGTGACTATTTAAGTTTTACTACTTGAAAACTTAGCACCCTTACATGTTTTCATGTAGTTTTCAAGTAGTAAAACTTAAATAGTCACACTGGATGGAGTTGTTTTGTCTTTGTAATTGTTAGTGTGATGGACCAGAATGAAACAAATCAAATGCAGAAGAGAGTTATAAGATTGATGATGGGTCGTGGTTACAGGGAATCATGTAGAGATCTTTTGAAGGAAATAAATATACTGCCTTTAAAATCACAGTGTATATATATTTACTAATGATATTGGCAATAAAAATAGAGATAAATTTGTTAGAAATAAGGATTATTACGAAGTAAAAACCAGACAAAATATTACATTTTTATTTATGTAGATATACACCAGGTTAACCTGGCCCTATATGACAAAGGAGTATATCAGATGGCAGTAAAGGTTTTTAATGGACTTGCTCATAACCTTAAAGAAATCTCTAGTAATCCAAAAAAGTTTAAAGTTAATTTAAATGACTTTCTGTATTAAATTCTTTCTATACATTGGAGGAATTCTTTAAAAGATGATTGTATTATATCTGCAAAAATTGAGTATTATTGATTATATTGTTATATTGGGATGATTTTATGTATATTGAATTGAATTGAATTGAATTTATTTACATTCTATAAATCCTAAGCAGGTTAGTACCTTTGGATACAGAACAAGTCAAAAGGTTTTATTGATTTATTGATTTATTTAACATCCATAACTGTTACATTATGTACAATTGGACAAGTCAGTTTTTAAAAAAATATATGAGATTAAACATCACATCAAATGACTAATAATATAAAAAACATAGAAAAATAACATAATAAGTCCTTTAAATATGATAAAACAGTGGATGAGTATAATAAGGCAACAAAAGCTAAACTATAAATTACATGCAATAGCTAAAATAAATTACCTAAGTATCTTTGTTCTATTATTAAGCTAATTCTTGTAAAAATATTCTTGAAGGGAATAAAAAGCTTTGCACATCAAGTAATCCTTTAATTGACGCTTAAAAACCTTGAACTCTTGAATACTTCTTATTTGAGAGGGCAAGTTATTATACAATCTTATTCCCATGTTAATCACACTCCTTTTACAACGTGAGGTGTTACATGGTTGGACATACAAATTCTGCTTATGTACTGTGTTATAACCGTGCACATCTGAATACGAGATGTTATATATCCTATTTTTCCTTAAAAAACACAACGTCTCAAAGATATACAATGAAGTTAAGGTTAAAATTTTAAATTCACCAAAAAATTCTCTACACGATATCCTGTTATTGACTCTTTTGATCAGT